TTAAAAAAAGAAAAGAAAAGAAAAAAAAAAAAAAAACCTGAGAAGGGGACAAGGGGAGGGAAAAGGGGGCAGCTGGACATGGAGGATGCAGGGCAGCCATGCCTGGGTGATGGCCTGGAATGCAGATGGCCGCCAGCAGGCCCAAGGGAACGCCGCAGGCCCTGTCCCAGACAGGCCTCCCCTCTTTCAGAGCGGGCGTAAAGACTTCCACGTAGGGCTTAACTTTCAAAATGCAGGAAGGCTGTATGGGAAGAAGTTTGTTTCACTAGACTGAAAATTGCTTACGGGGAAGGAGTAATACTTGTTAGCCATGTCTCAGGGCAGAAATTAAAAGCAGAGACCCACAAGGGAAGAGAGATGGGCCTGAAGTTTTTGTTTTCTCAACACAAAGAAGTCCCACTGCAGATGTGGAGGGGAATGTTTCTATACGTTATTTTTAACTGCATGCATTGCATTCGTGGTCATTTCTCTGCCCTGTCCACAACCTCTGCTGAGAGTTGGGAAATTTCTGTGAAAATTGTGAGCGACGGGTAATTTTTCTGGGGGAGACAGGGCTTAACTGTACCCAGACAGCATCAGGAGAATTAAGACTAAAGCAGCTCATTTTTAACTCCTTTTTAAAGGGATTTTAATTAAGTCTTCCAAGAGGGCGAAGGGGAACATATGTGCTGAAACAGCCTCTCAAGCTTTGTCTAAAGGAAGGAAATTACCCACTTCAGGCAATAGCTGTCAGCCATCACGGGAGCCACCCTAGGGCCAAACACAGCCGTATGGCACACACCCAGCAGAGAAACCCTACTCTGGGCTACAGCAAAAACTTTGGGGTGCAGTAAAACCGGACACGTTCACATGGCTTGTGGGTGCCAAAAGACAAAGCTCTCTGAGCATCAGCAAGGTGACTGTATAAAAATAAAGGAGAATATGAGAGACCGCTGGCATAGTGTGGTTGCAGGACACCTAATAGCTTCCTAACAAAATGCTGACAGTGTCCCATTTCACCTAAAGCAGAAGAAGGAAAAACATCCGCTCTTTCCTAAGTCCTAAAAGCATACACACTATTAAAAGCGGACAGATGAGAACCTGCCACTACAGAACAGAATCATTTAGGTTGGAAGAGACCCTTGAGATCATTGAGTCCAGCCGTAAACCAATAATGCAGAAGTCTGGTATTGGGCACAAACGCTGCTCCTACAAACGGCCTCGGCTCAGTGAGATCCACATTATAAGCAAACCCTGAATCCAAGCAGGTTTCCTACATCCAGATCCACAATAACAGGTATACCAGCACTAGAGAAACACTCTGCTTCAGGTCTTTTGCTGCAGTGTAAGCACACGCTCCAGTGTTTTCTCAAAAGAGGGCTGATTAATATTTACGTATTACAAACATACATTGCTTCAATTCACAGAAATAAATTACCTTAATTGTTATGTAGTTTTTTAATGACTTGGACATTTTTTCTTGGCTTCCTTTAACATGCAAGTGCCCTAGAAGAAAAAAAATTAATCAGAATAAATGAGCATGCTTTTCAATGGGGAGTGAATGAAAGAGACTGCACTGAAACACTGAAAACGCTGGAGGCAGCATATGCTGTGATAGATATGCACCAACCATTTCAATGCATCATGTAACATATCTTTCAATAGCTTTGCCTACAGTCCTGCACACCTCTCCTTCGTCAGCTTGGCTGGGTGAATTTTAAAGCGTAGGAAAAGAAAACTTTTTTAGAAAAAAAACCCAAGAAGCAAAACCAACACACCACCATGAGCAAAGACATTAATGAGGAAAAACCAAAAAGTATCCCTGCTCAGAACTGAAAATAAATTGATAAAAAAAGCAAGCAAGGAAATACTTTCCAATCTTCACAGAAAAGTACCTTACCTGTTACTCTTGACTTTCCAGAAATACTTTAAGATCTTTAAAGACCTTCCAGTGATCTCACATTACAATACTTCAAAACAATTTTGTGTACTTACTACTTGCTGGTGGCTGTTACACTATTTTTTTTTAATCCAAAAGTTTATTGTGCTGGTTCAAATTACTTTATGTGTAAAATGGATTCTCCACACATTCCCTATTTCGGCAAGACTTTGGGAGACGGAGAAAAAGAAGGGGAGGGATGTAGCTATGATGCCTAATTTGAATTAGCTTATTTTAAAACGCAATGTCTGAGCATTGCTAGAGCTTTCAACATCTGCACGGACCACTGCTTTGCAGGGCTGTGTTACATGAAAAAGGCAGCAACCATCTCCATCGCATTTAGGAGAGTACAGCTTCAGGACTGAAAGTTCTGTTGAAGCAAGACAGGAGATTGGCAGCCTCAGGTTATACATTCCCAGGCCTCGTCCATGCTAGCCACAGCACCACCGCTGATGGAAATCATCAATTATTCACAGCACCAGAGAGATGGCGAACAGGTAGCCAATAAAAGACTACTCAGCGTCATTTCAGAAACCCTGTTAAAAGCCTTAACTAGCTTCTATTAAGAGTAATCCTGTAAGTTACCGAGCACCCACAACTAACATGCAATTTTCAGGCCCTTTGTGACTTGCAGAATCCAGCACTTAATTGTACTTAGAAGCAGATTTTTAAGCACGAACTTTACTCTTTAATACCACAGCAGCGCTCTGCATTCTTTCACATTTGGCAGTCCAGCATTACCAATGCCTCAGAGTGCTCCGCAAGGACAAGGTATGATCACACTTCTGCTTTTACAGGTGGTGGCAGAGGTGGCATTTCTTGCTCAGCAGCCCAAGCAGCTGTCTGAATTTTGTGCTACTCTGCACAGTGCTGCTTTGGCCGCCTTGCCTGGAACGCCCCCCGATCTTGCACAGGCGGATAAAATCCCCATTACGCTCATCTGGATACAAAAGCAACATGCTCAGGCCTGCTAAACGGATGTGAAAAGCATCTGGTTACACTTCTCAGCTATATCTGACAATGATTCAATGCAGTGGGGATTCTCCATCAGGAGGCTACCTCCAGCCCTACCCTGACCACCTGGAAATTAAGTTTGCACAACACTATGGAGAGTAGGAAAGAATCAAGAGATCTATGGACACAGAACCGGCTACAGCAGAAATCTACTATCAACCCCAAACCTTATTTTCATTGTGTTTGTCCTGACTGCTAGCAGGTGAGGCCATTTTCATCACTGCATGGTTAAACTCGGGGCCCTCAATAAGAACATTCAGGCTGCCAAGAGGGATTGGACGCCTGCAACTCTTGAGACTCAAGTAAAACCCACAAACATCTCCTGGGAGAAGGGGAAGAGCCTGGGTACAATGATTATTTTTGTTTTGCAAAGCTGCCTAAATATTGACTGACTCAACTTTAGGCAGCCAAGCTTAAAATAGTTTGATTATGTTTTCCTAATAAGGTGCAGGTAACATCTGAATTTGAAAGAATATTCCTCTTCAAGAGTTTCAGCACTTAGAATGATTTCATTAGAGAATCACAAAATACAAGGATTTTCATAACTTCGGCTTGGCGCTCTTCCCAGAGTACAAGTAGTCTAAAAATAAAGTCCTTATAAGAAGATTTATCCCCAGTGCAGGGATTTTCTTCCTCTAATGGGGATTGCTCCTCCAATTCTGAGCCTGCTAAAATTCTGAAGTCTGTTACCAGAATAAATTGTTTCTGAAGCCGATTCATTTGCCCTAAATAATTCACACTATCATCCTCCAGCAAAATTTTTTGACTTAATGAATGTAATCTGTCAGCTCCTAGAGAACCTCAGCGTACAAATTGCCCTTGGAATTAAGTTCATTCTTCTTTTTCCTAAAAAAAAAAAAAAAAAAAAAAAAAAAAAAAAAAAAAAGGAGAGAGAGACTCCTCTTTAGTTACGTTTCAAAGAATATTTCCCCTATAGTTTCAATTCCAAGCTTAAAAAGTCAGATTCACTGGTTTTCAACAGAAGGCTCCACCTGGCAGCAATCAGTGCATCTCAGTGGAAGGGCAGAGAACCCCCCAGCACTTTAGGAGCAAAGCACACCCTGGAGGATGCCCTGGCTTCTGGACAACTGCTACTGATTTGTAACAGGCTCTACACTGGGAACTGAAACTAGTTCAATATTCATCCCGTACAGTACAAATATATATAAAAAAGAAAGCCCCAGTAATTCCCAGAGCATAACACAGGCTTAACTCTGCATCTCTTGCTCAGGGAAGCAGCTCAAAAGAGTTCACCAAGACTTCTTGCACAAAGTCTTGCTGTTCAGCAAGAAGAGAGGCTGCAGATTTGAACCTGACTTTCTATTGACTTCAGTTCTTTCGAGACCACCCAGAACCACCATGACTGCAACAGGAAGAACAAATTTCAAGGTTTCCATCAACAGGAACAGCGCTAGTACCATCAGACAACGACATAGTTCAAAGCACTGTACAGCACAAACTTTGCTGAAGCACTGTCGTGCAAAGGCAGCAAGGAGCAGATGTACGTAATGCCAGGCAGTATTGCATGCTGAAGACCAAGCGAATGAAAGACCCTTCGGTACAGTTTAGCAAGATACAGTCAGTCAGCGAGGTCACTTCTCGGGGAAGAGACAAGGTCGGTGACATCTATGGGCTGCACCAGTACCGAGTCACCCACACGCCACAGGAAAGCAGAGAGACATTGAAGTTAGTCAGAGCGCTAGAGAGGTTTAAGGGACCATAGTGACAAGACTCAATGTCTCCACTTTTCTGCAGAACCGAGGGGTGAGTGACGTGGTCTTTATGTAGTCCACAGATGTCACAGACTTCCTTACCTCTACCCACCAGTAACCTCGCTGATCATGCCTGACCAGAGCAGACCAAAGCATCCGACTCACTCTGTCTTCAGCGTGAATGTTGTTTCTCATACCCATCACTAGGTGTAGAGCTGCTGGTGGATAAAAAAGGCTTCCCAGGAGAATTTAAATAGTTGCAGATATGCGAATTGCGCACATGGAACGTCCTGTGGTTAGTTGCTGCAGCAGAGAGTCTGCCTGCAAGGCTTCCCCTACATTTCAGACCATACAGAACATCCCAGCTCAGGTATTTCTCTGCAGGATCACAACTTAGTGAGCTTTGTTGGTTCATCAGTTCATGTATCTTGGCATTCTCTCCATTCTTATTTCCAGTAGTACACATGTCTTTTCTTATAATGTTTAAAAGCCTTTCACTGTATTTACAAACAAAGGCTATTTGATTCTGCATGCCAAAAAAAACCACCCCACCTTTTGGTTTTGTTTTTTTTTTTTTTTTTTTTTAAAAGCCCAAAAGCAACTGGTGCCAAGACACATTGGAGAACAAGACTCATTTATTCTGTCCTCAATGCTTTTAAAACATTACAGTCTGCTACCTGCCCACCTGCCACCTCCATTCCCTGCCTTCAGATACTGTGGGTTTGGGTTCTAAGACAGAAGGAATTTGTGGTTTTAAGAGGACTACACAAACACATATAGAAAAAAAAAAAAAAAATCTACTATTTCCACCCTCTTCCCGCAGGACTGTTACAGCCAAAATACAATTAAAAAAGAAAGCCTATCACAAAGAGTACCCTCGAATTCTGAGGAAACTCAGCTGAAAGGGAATGAGATTCTTTCCACATTTTTAATTAGGAGTAAACAGTATACATGGGCAACGCATATACTGGTATTATTTGGAGATTTCCCCAGAAGAAATTCAGGAATATTTCCCTGTAAGTGCTTATTAATAAAGGCATTCATTCTACAGTTTCAAGATTCACTCTCATTTATGTTTCTTTGCTTAGTGAGGACAGGAACTTGGTCACCTGTAGTAAAGCATCCATTTTCAAATGCCAAACCTAAAAACCCAAACATTTGTACAGGCCTCTCAAGCAATAAATGTTTTTACTTACCAGAATGCAAAAAGTAATTCCCCCATTGCTCACACTGATGATACACCTCGCACTGTGCGATTTCATTTTCATGATGAGGAAATGCAAGATCTATTCCACCGGTATGGATGTCCAGATGCTTTCCAAACACTGCACTGTAATAATATTTTCCTGATCGGTAAGTAGAACACTAAAAAAGCTTTTTGTAAAAGAAATGCAGAAAAGAATAAGATGAAACATCATAAATTTAAGCACACAATTTAATGATTGCAGTTTTAAAACAAGACTTTACACAGATCTTGGATACCGAAACTGAAGCAGAACTTGTAATGGACAGGACCTGTATCTGCCTGCAATTAGTTCTTAGTAGGAGCAATTTTTTTTTTTAACTGAAAGAATGGCAAGCAGGATACCTCCTTTCCTTGTTCTGCTACAGTTTCAGTATCAGACAGCTGCCTTCATCTGCAAGCCTAACAACTTCAAAGCGATGAACGTTTCTATACCTTTGGTATTACTGTTCTTCATCTTGTACCTTTTCTGTAAGAATTCAGGCAATACTGTATGCAGTCATGATAGAAAATCCTTAGTCCTGTATTGTTACAATGTCAACAGAAGTGTCGGTGCCTCTGCTCTCCCAAGGCCATTCCTCTCATCCCAACGGCACGGTTGCATCCGTGCAGGTCACCCACAGGCTTGGTGTCTCTGCAAATGCTGGGGGCTGGAAGCAAAGTATTCATGTGGCAACAGGACAGACCTAGACGCTTTCTAGTTAAACACCAGGAGTCAAGGCTGCTACACTCGGTCCGCCGCTCCAGCAAGTCCCTGCTAGGTCATGCTGGGCAACTTGATAACTTCATTTTGCCCACCTGTTAAACGAAGACAACGCTTACCTACTCACAGGGAGGTAAATTGAGGCTAACTCCCCAGAAACCAGGGACACTCAAGCTGGGGAAGATGCAAGGTCTACACGAGTAGAAAATAAAAGGCAAGCCACATACACACTTGCACGTGTGTGTACACACAGACACCCACAGTCTTTCCATATGTCACGTTAACAAGTTGCTCCTGGTAGCTGGCTAGATATCAATACTCTCATCCTTTTTTGGGACAAAACACCCTATTAACACCCTGACTGATGATGGCTCTGCAGAAGCATTTGGGGCACAGGAAGAAAAGAAAACAAGGAGAAGAGAGGAGGGAAGAAAAACCAGCTGTTGCCATTTCCCAAGTTCGAGCTCCTCTGCTTCCTCCTGTCTGCTCCAAAGCCAGCTTAAGCACAGACCTTCATAGAAGTAGCCCTGACTCATGCCTTCCCTCGAGCCATCTGCAGAGGAGCACTGGCCACTTGCCGGTTCCTCCACCGAAACCACAAAGAGCTGGGGAGAGGTGTATCTGCGAAATGCTCAGGGGCCAGAGGAGCAGCCCATCTCACCGCAAGGGAAACTCCAGAAAGGAGATCAGACCCAAGCCACGGCAGGTGGTTCCCTCCTCCAGGGCTGCATTAGAGACCAAGGCCCTTCTCATTCACCTTCCCCAGGCGCTCTTCAAAGACTTTTCATGTTAGTTCGCCTGGCTTACTTAAAGTGCTTTGAGATCTTTGGCAAAACAGGCAGGTAATTAGGTAATGCTTAAAATGGGCCTTGGACAGCTGATTGGGACAGCAAAAGGTTTTAGGTAACTTACCAAAGTAAGCTCTGCATTTGTCACAGTCAAAGATTACTACACTTATGCTCTGCATGGGTCAACTCTTATTTACACAGCAGGAGCCTTATCCAGCCACAGTAAAGTAAGTTTTTACAGAAAGAAATGCAGACTATAAAGACCACCACATTAGCAGATAGGCCATTTTGCAATTGGCACTTCTTACCTGTGCACTTCTGTCACAGGTGGCACTTCAAATACAGCATGTTTTTGTGCACTCCAGTTGCTGCAAGAACTGTTTCACAGTGCCGAAGCTATTTACAGACAGAAAATCACCCTTACAAATGTTTTTCACAGTCAGGTAGTAATGACTAAGAACCCCAGGTGCACCAGCAAAGCACATGAAAAAGAAACCTGAAGCACCTGTTCCATCTACTTTCAGCTCAGGCTGAAAACTGAAGTTAAACAGGGCCAGATCTAAATAATTTTGTTATTAGCTTCCAAAATAAGATCTGAGACTAATGCAAAACTAAGTACCACTATCAATTTTGCAGGAGAGGAGATTTAAAGTCTCTTTTTTTAAAATACAAATTGATAGGTCATAAGTTAATACAGCGCAGGACAAAGTACTACCATCTGCGGAGAAAATAAAACTCCAAATTAAGAGCAAATTAATTTAAGCCAACTACAAGCAAAATGCTGCTACACACAATTCACGTCGTGCCCACAAAGTATACCGTCACAGAGAAATCAGAAAATGTGATGCTGTGGCTGATTTTTAAAGAAAGCTGAATACCGCTTGGACGATTAGCGGGAACATCCACGACTGCTGCTAAGATAAGGCCAGCGAGATCTCATACGCTGGCGTGGGGCCGGGTGGAATCCCCCCACCGTTTAGACTGCAAGAAGTGGAAGGGAGGCAAATGAAAGAGGTACCGTCACTTTCCCTAAAGCTTTGGTTACTCAGTTCAAGTTAAAAGACTTGCTAATCAACTGTGTGCTCCTGCATGGCATATTTTAAATAGCCGAGACTGTCTCAATGGAAGACACCAAAACACAGCAAGACAGCTATGCCATTAAGGTGGGGCAGAGTTTGTTTGGGCCAGGCGTGACATCCCAAATTGCACAAAGTATTCACATTAAAACTGGTGCTTTCTGCTGATCAGAAACACTGCTGCTACCATTGTACTGGGGCTGAAAACAAAAACCAGTGCTAGATTTAAAATCCGAGAAATCTGACCTTGATATTGTGGAACACTCAATGTGCCATCCAGGTCTTCCTTTTCCCCAGGGAGAAGTCCAAGATAGCTCTTGAGGCTTGGCAGCCTTCCACAGGGCAAAATCTCTACCATGTCGTTTATCAGTATCAGCTGCCAAGAACAAGTGATTTGTTAACGGAATATGTCCCAAAGAAAAAAAAAATGAGCAAATGGAAGCAAGTCGAAATGCGCTACCATGTCGTTTATCAGTATCAGCTGCCAAGAATAAGTGATTTGTTAACGGAATATGTCTCAAAGAAAAAAAAATGAGCAAATGGAAGCAAGTTGAAATGCGTGTTTAGTGAACTACTCAGATTTTAATTTCTTCTGCTCAACTTAGTTTCCTGCATCTTTCCTCCCTTCCCCCTTACACAGGGCTTTCAGTTTCCCAGTCAAGCATTGGGGGGGGAGGAAAAAAAAAAAAAAAAAAAAAAAAAGAGTTTAGATTTCTGCAGGCTAAAAAGATGGATTCAAGATTCTTAAATACACCCCATCCTTTTAGTCCTTTTGGCCTTCTCTGGTTTTACATCATTCATTTAGTTACTTATCAGCCAGTTTCCCAGGAAAACCAGATTGCACTGCAGCACAAAAGGTAACAAAACCAACCCAAACCAAAATCCACAAACAATAGCAACAACAACAAAAAAAAAAAAAACCCCACCCACAGTTTTTTCTCTGGGACACAAAGAGTTTCTGGGTCAGATTCTATAGAACCAAGAGCAACACAGAGATGAGAATCAAAACTGTTCTTGGACAGTAGCAACCTTCCAGTACCATTTTCATCAACGGCTTCTCTACAAAGGTCTCCTCCCCGGCTACATTTGTGGCTTCCTTCACTACACAGGCAAGGACCTAATCCTTTTTTGCCAGAGTATGGCAGAGGACGGTTCATCTCTGCTGGTTCCTAAGCCCTGGTGGGTTACACCCCGCTCCCTGGCAGGAGCTACAGAATGGGGATCTGAGCTCTGTATTTTTTTGCTGACAAATACACGAGCTCGCGTTTGACTGATGCAGCAGAATAAACCTATTTGGCTTGAAGGGATCCAGCTTGGCAAGCAACTCGCACTGTTTTAAGTTCCCTTATTTAACACCGCTCATCTGTTTTATCAGCAGCTGACGCTACATTTACTTCTTTCCTCTACTTATTTCAGATCGCTAACAAAACCACAGTTTATCACTGGGTCTGAACCAATCTCTGGAGCATTCCAGTATCAGCACATTTTAACGATGATTCATAGCTATTTTTGGAGATCTATCAGATGGTCATTTTTCTTGAGCCATTCCGCTTGTACTTTATTGATATTCTACAGAGCGAGGTTTTACTCAGAACATCATGCAATATTAAGGGAAACACAGTACAAAAATCCATTACATCTGCTTCATCATTCAAAATTGATAAGAAATAAGGGGGCAGAAATACAACCCTAGTTTTACCCACAACAGTTCTTTGCTTTCCACAAGTGTAACATTATGTGAAATTTTGGTAATATGAGGTAACATTTATTAACCTATTTTCTTCATAGAATCATACAATGTTTTGGGTTGGAAGGGACCCCTAGAGGTCATCTAGCCCAACCCCCCTGCAGTGAGCAGGGACACCACTAACTAGATCAGGTTGCTCAGAGCCCCATCCAACCTGGCCTTGAATGTTTCCAGGGATGGGGCCTCCACTACCTCTCTGGGCAACCCATACCAGTGTTTCATCTTGGCTCTTTCACTAGTTTGCCAAGCTCTGGCTGACCAGTGTCTTGTTGACTCCATCCCTCTTTTGGCTTTTTTTGAGCATACTGCTACAAAAAAAGCACTGTTCACCTTCTCGGTTATAACAACAGACAAAACCTTTAGAAATAACAGTAAATTTAGTTTTAAGTGACTTGAGGGGAAACAGGGTAAAACACAGAATCAGTCATGTTTGAGGCTGGAAGGCACCTCTGGAGATCACCTAATCCAACTCCCGGCTAAGAGCAGGCTGCCCAGGATGGTGTCCAGTCAGGTTTTGAGTATCTCCAAAGATGGAGACTCCACAGGCTCTCTGGGCAATATGTTCTTGTTAACCATCCTCAGAGTAAAACAGGTTTTTATTAGGTTTGAATGGAATTTCCCATGCTTCAGGTTGTGCCTATTGCCTCTTGTCCTGTCACTGGGCACCACTGAGAAGAGCCTGGCTCCACCTTCTTTACTGCCCCCATCAGGTATTTGTACTCATGGGTAAGGTGCCCCAAGCCTTCTCTTCTCCAGGCTGAGCAATCACACCTTTCTCAGCCTTTCCTCATAGGAAAGATGCTCCAGTACCTTCACTGTATTTGTGGCTGGTTGCTGGGCTCTCTCCAGTACACCAATGTCTCTCTTGTACTGGGGGGCCCAGCACTGGACCCAGCATGCCAGGCATGTCTTGCCTCATGCTGAGCAGAGAGGAAGGATCACCTCCCTTGACCTGCTGGCCCAGAAGGCTGCTGGCTGCCTTTGCAGTCAATAACTGCCTCTAAATTACTGTCGACAAAACGCATTCCCTCTTCGAGCTGTAACACTGAAACAACTCCAGAGTAGAGCTGCAAGAAGTTTCTGGCTGCAATTCACCTGAGCATCAGCCTGCCAGGCGTTTTCAGTAATTGCAGACAGATTTTTTTCAGTGAAGAAATACTGAACTTCAGCGTGCAAAGGATGCAGGAGATCTGCCTCAGATTCTCCAATGCGGAGACCTGATCAGATCCAACTTACGGAAACTACAGAGCGGCTCAGCAATCCTGCTTAGCAGCTGGACAATCACAGCAAAAACCACCCAGCCAAGGGTACAGGCATCCTCTAGCACAGCCTGTCAAGACGTTGCTTCTCCTCACACAAACAGGCTGCTTATCAGTAGTCCAGGGGTAAGTAATGAAAGAACCAAATTCATCTGGTTAGCATGCATCAGAAGGCTGCAACTGCCCAAACACTAACGTGATAGATGGCGTTTCCCAGCATCTACCCGTGACTATCTCACTGATGGCTAGTGCAATGGCTGAGACCACCACCTCTCTATGAAGTTTATAGGTACCACCCCCAAGTATTTAAATAAAATTAAGAATCTTAATTGTTCTAGGGTACCAGAACAAAGGTATAAAGGGAACCAAGTATGAAAAGAGACCACCAAGTTTCCTCTTGCACTGGCAACAGTGAGTGCCTCAATAAATAATTTAAAGAAAAAAAAAAGTCTTAACCAAAAAGCTGGTTACACACAACAGATTAGAAAACCATTTCAGACTGCTGAATGAAGTTTTATGGATAGATACATCACGAGTTCAGACAATGCATTAACACAAACAAGTTGGTGCCATGAACATACCTGCTTCATCTTGGGTATCAGGATAAATAGTAGTTAATACTCCGTATCTTTTTCCCCAAGACTTAACATCAAAATAAACATTGCCTAATAAAAAAGAAATGTTTAGTTTTATAGCAAAGATGTGTCACATTCATGATGAAGTGGGAACATTCCCCTGAAAGCACAACAAAACAAAAAGCCCTTCAACTCCCATTTGAAATTCTGATTTATAAATTCAGAAACACTGCAAAAGTAATAGGCACATGTTTCCACGTTACCAGCTTTTCAGTAACCTCACTGCATGCTCTCATTCTGCACATCGGATAACTTTGTATTCTGGAGATCTCCCCAGGTTCTTCCCTGCCCGTACACAATCAACTCTGACTGAAATGCAGCCTACTGCTACTCCAGTTATAACCCACCCGAATGCTTCTACAACCACCAGCTCTGCTAAAGAAAAAAAAATAAAAATCCATACATTGCACTTTGCAGCGGATCTTTTACAGCACCCTGTTTAGAGCTCAGAGGCTCCCCCAACTCTCTTGTAGCAGTCAGGCCAGGACTTCCCCACAGGAGCTTAGGTAGCAGTTCATTACAGTAAACAGTTATATTAAATAATGACCTACATTTAACTTAGAAATTGAGTAGTAGTTGTTCTGCCCACTCACGTCATGGCAAATGAGTTTCTAACACCGTCTGTTAATCAACAAGGAAAGCCTGGCACAGGGTATCTCATCTGATCCCAAAACAGGATTACTTAACAGCACTGATTTCCCGTACACATGCTGAACAAGGAGTTGCCTTGCTATGTCTTACCTTGCGAGGTTGCATAAGCTTGTCCACTAGCAATTATTGTTTTTATAAAGGAAATTATCTGAGGAATATTGTCAGTCACTCTCATATATACTGTAGGAGGAAGGACCTTAAACAAAGAAAGAGTAACATCTTATTAGCCTGTAAGAAACACACTGCTGACAAGTCCCTTCACTCCAAGAAACAAATTTTAATGAACATTCTCCTCAATTTTATCTTTCAAAAAAAAAAAAGTTGCAAGTGTCATAAAAAGTTCATAAGCAGCATTTAAGATAATACAGAAAAAAAAAAATTGAGGGGTGGCAAAAAAATTCCACTAATTTTTCCCAGTGGCCTACTCCTTGCTGCTTCTCACAAGTATTCTGGACAAGAAGCAAAAGACACCTGAAGTCAATGAAAGAATATTTGATGTTTCATATGCTTTAGATCAGGCTACTTCTGCGTTATAGTAAATAATTACTATCTGTGAACTAAGGCTCTATTGCATGGTGTAAAAAAAAAAAAAAATTCGTCAGGAACACAGATTTTTTTTTTTTTTTAACTTGTTCATTCAAAATCTAGAGTTTGCCTTTCCCCACATTTCCTTACTCAAAAGGTGTGCAATGTCCTCCCAGAAGAATGAAAAGGGTAAATCAGTACTCAGTTTCCAAGCAACACTATCACACAAGCAATCAATTTATTTTTTCAGCTCAAACTGTCAAAATCAGATTCCTTACCAAACCCATCGCTTTAAAATACTCTTAAATTTAGAAGCTCAAGTATCTGTACCTTTAAGGCAGCCATATCTTGTTTAAAGTCTTCTTCGTAAATACGAGCAAGAGCTACTGGCGATATGTTCATCTGAAAAAGAGAGAAGCAGATTAGTAAATCATAAATCAAAGTAATAACATAAAATATTGCAATCTTCTATCAGACAGTTAATGGCTAATTGGAAGACTTAACGAGCCTCCAAGGTAAAGAGTCAGAAAGGCTTATTAATCCAACATTCATGGGGAAGAGACGTAAGCTATAAATAACTTTAAAGTAGTATTTCATTTATGCTTCTGAATTGCCAAAATATTAATACATATCTTTTAAGAGAATGCAACCAAAGATTAAAATAACAAACTCCTTCCCTCCCTCATTATTTTCCCTCTTGAGAGGGTCTTCCATTTCCAGTGACAAGATATACTACAGTACACAGGATGTGAAATTCATTCAACTTATTGGCAGGGGACACCAATACCACCTACCTGTCAGAAAGACAGATCAGAGACTTGCAGGATGAGACAGGATATTAATTTTCAGTGATTAAGAAAAATAAGCTATTTCAGCTGATCACGGTTACTCATAGATCTCAGTACAATCAGGGGAAATGAGCTGACAGTCAGTCCCACGCTTTGCCAAGTGCGGCAGCTCCCAAGCACCTTCTCTGTGCTTCTCGTTCACGGGGTGATGGAAAGGAACAGGGACCCCCAACAGAAGCAACGAGAAAGTGCAACCCAAAAGGAAAGAGACAACTTGCACATGACAAGACACTTGTTCTCAAATATTCAGAACAGACCAGGACTTCAAAGACACATGACAGCAAAACCTGCCCTAGCAAGGAAAAGCGTAATATCAAAGTGTTTCAAATGTGAGCTTATACATGTTCTCTGAGGAGAACCTACTGGGCAGAAGACAACATACCGTCACAGTCTCTCCAGCTTGCAGATAACTGAATCATTAACAAAATAAATCCAGTTTCATCACTTCCAATTAATTACTGGAGCATCTTTAAGGGGTCTGATTTTTGGAGCACAGGTGGGTACAACTATTTGGGCAAGCTCCTGGACAAGGCAGGAGTTCTGGTGTAGAGAGACCAGATGCTCATCCAGCAACAAAATGAGGAAGACGCTCAGCACTGAGAAACGAAGGCATGTCTCTGCCTACAGACCAGAGAGAGCGCTCTTCCAGACCTCAGCGACAGGACTCCTCTCCTTAGACAGCTCAGCTGCTTCTTTGATCAACAGAGAGACAACGATGCCTACAGGAGGGAGATGGGGAAATTCCTCCCGTCCAGACAGATGTTCAAAACGCAAAGACTCATCTCTCTCTCCCAAAGGACCACTGAGGGCATGCAGCATGCTCATCATAGACTAGATGGCCAACTTTCAGGTTTTCTCTGGATGAGTCCCACCGAAGGATGGAGAACAAGCTTAGGTATGTTGATCCTACCAGTGTACACAAATTCTTTTAAAACATCATGTCATTTCCCCCTCCTCAAACATAAAGTCTCCGTAATGTTCTGACAATACTGAAAAGCTTTAAAATACACACACATAGATTTAAAATGCCTGGGGTTTTTTTTTGGGTTTTGGGGCTTTTTTTTTTTAAAGATGACCTACCGCCTTAGAAAACTGCAAGTAAATGGACTAAGGGAACACACATGTATTTCTAGAGGAGCCGCATGCTAGTGTTTGTTTGAATGCAGCGCCCTATATTTAACTGCAATAGTAACTGTTTACTTAATGATTAAATAAAAGTGACAGCTGTCAAATCCTCTGGCTCCGAGAAACTAGCTTAAAGCTTGCAACTGCACTTTGATCCAATACATTAATTTATGATCCAGAAGACACAAGTTACAGATTCTAAAAACAAAACATAAAATTCAAATACAAAGTAAAACATTCTCAGTGTTTCAGCCTTTCAATTAAAATAAAAAAAATAATTGGAATAATCATTCACCAAGCTCAGCTGGTAAAAAAGGTCCAATTAAAAACCAACAGAGAAACACTCATAGCCCCCATCTTACTAAGACTTACCCCTAGACTCAATGTCAACTTTCATGTAGGTGACTAACTCTGACAAGACCGATGAAGCTTTCCAAGGCGCTGACGTTGCAGCTAGATGGTGCTCGGCACCTTTCAGGAACCACCCTCAGCCTCGCGTATGGCAATGCTATCTATACTGCCTTTAACCATCGATGGCACACAATGCTTCTCCAGAACACAGCCAGAAGCCTACTGGCTGCTAAGTTTTGGGTTGCTTTTGGCCTATGATACCCTCCAACTGTGCTGAGGATTCATCCCAGCTTTTTGTTCCCCGCTGGCCTCCCTGTGCTGTAACACAGCCCTCCCTGCCTCTTCCCCTTATTAACAACATTTACCTCCACGCAGCTCTCGATGCCCAGCCCCATTACAGCCATGCTAGGGGACCAGAAATCTCAACATTTATTATCTACTAATTAAAATAAACAAAACTCAACAACAACAAAAAAAAAACAAACCACAAAGCCAGGTAATTTTCCCATGTAAGTAGCTGTTGAAAATACCAAAAGTTTGGGTCAAATATTGCAGCAAACACCTACCTCATTGGCTCTTTTTATTATCTTGTCATCTATGTCTGTGATTCCCATCACCATGATAACTTGAACTCCAAAAAACCTAGTCATTATCCGTCGTATTATATCAAACCTAACATAGGAGCTGGAAAAGAAAAAACATGAGCCTTTAAGCATGCAGTAGCAAGAATAAACTTAAACAAAAATAACCAACAGCACTAACAGCCACAAGGACAACCTGAATACCCAACACTTGCAATGAAAAGGTCTTCAGTGCATGAAGTCCAAAACCAGTTACCACCTGCACAAAAGTCAAGCAAATTTCCCTTGAACTGGCCTACCCTCTTCTGGCATTAGTGACACATTACATCAAATTTTCTGAGTGTTTTCTTTTGTTGCATCTCTTTATTCAAGCACTGAAGTGCGTCAGAAGCTACGCGTGAGCCAGGAGACTCTCTCAAAGCAAAGAGCACGAAATAAGACGCACAGATCAGATATTCTTGAAATACATCCCTCGGGCTTCGTATATTCTAACAGGTTTTCAGAAGCCACGGGGCAGAAGAACAGAGAGAAATAAAACAGGCTTTCAAGTGAACTTTGCTTAGGGTTAAGTAACAACTACAGCTACCGGCCACCAATAAACCATTTCATTCACACACCACTACAGATCTTTCTGATAGGAAATAAGAGCTGCTCTGTGGTATATTTTGTTCCATTTACACTCAAGGACAAATTCTCAAAATTATTCAGGCTCTTTGTCACAAATCAGAGTATTTAATGCTGATAGACTGATGCACCTGCAAGCTGTACAGGGCTGCAGCAGCCCCTTCTGCCGCTCACCGACTCTCCACTTGTAATTCTCAAAACATGCTCTGACTGAGTAAAACCCAATTATTAGGCGAGATATTAGAAGGTGCCTAGAGGCTCTGGGTCTGCCCTGCCAGGCAATGAGAATCCTCAGCCTGAACCGGCTTTGGAGAAAACAGAGCCCAAAAAGAGACTCACAGACCTACAGGTTTCCATTTTACCTGCAGCACCACACAAACTGCAACCCCCACAGCTGCCAGACCAAAGAAGCGTGAGCGAATACTGGGAACAGATTTGCACCCTTCCCCTTGGCTGCAGGGACCAGGTGGCATTAAGGTTCAGATTTATGGATGTGTAATATCTTGATGAAGAAAAATACTTGTTACTGTTGTGTGCACTATGCCCACGTTGAAAAAGGCTTTTTTTGAAAGCCTTGCTGCCAGGGAGATAGTTTTTAATGAATACCAGTTCACTGGGAGTAAGGTTCACCTAACGTGGCGATATGATTCCGTAAGAATATGAAATTGGTCTTTGGATACTGTTCAGAGGAACAATGCCAGCATCAAAAGCTTGATATTAGATTTAACAGCCCTGCAGTCATACTTCGCAGAGCAGACACAAATTTCCACCATTCCCTCTCCTCTGATCTTCCAACTGAATTGATGGAAGAAACACTGCAAGAGCCAGAACAGATCTCCTGATGCCTCAGAAAGCAGAGTCCTTACCACTTCAGGAAAGAGAATTAAAAAAAAAAAAAAAAAAACAACAAAACCAGACAGTCACAATCAGGGGGGTGGCAGAGCAGGCACAAGGGACTGAATGAAACCTCCTCTCGTGCTTGGTTTTAGTCTTATTTCCAAGCACTCAGCCAGGAACCTGGAGGCCAACCAGGCTGCAGCTCACACCAGCACGATCAAGGCCACTCTCGGAACCGAGGGAGAAGATGGCATTATCTGCCCATCTGATTTTTCTCGTCATACAGAGTGAGTTTTGGATGTTGTACTGAGGTATACAGAGCACCCGTTTTGAAGACTGGAAGCACAACATACTACAGCAAGTTGGATTATTAAGAGAAATAAGAAATCCCTATGGAGGGGAAGGAGGAGAGGAGAAAAACCAACAATGCCGTTCTTTTCAAATTCTTCTCAAGGATCTCAAGCTCATTTCCATTATTCTGCATTATTACCTGCTGCATTTGTTGTGCTTGCCACAAGTCAAACGTAGGAAGGAGGGGAAAAAGGGAATTCTAGTGATAAGATAATGTGTTGCAAGAGGACAAGAAAACGATGGCAGTTTACAAGAGCGGCACGGTAGCAACAGCCGTCGCTCCATTGGGACTTCATGCTCTTTCCCAGCGCATCTCCCGGCCTGCAGACCCCCATCAGCAGCATGCATTTCAGCTGTGCCTACCAAAGGTCTACAGTTGGACCTAGCTAATGGGAAAAAAATAGACAATTTAAAAAAAAAAGTAAAATCAAGAGTGCCCCACCATCCTGAACAAATCAGCTGAGCAACAGGATGGCAACAGTGACTCGTGCAAGACCACAGACACTGGGAAGGCACAGCCAACTCCTCTCACGCTTGGAGGGTTTAACTGATCAGAGACGAGAAAGGAAGGTCTCCAGCGCCAGCATCTCACCGCCCCACGGCACTAGAGGGACAACACGTGAAGGTGCTGAAGAGGCAGCAGCAGGAGTATAACACAGCTACTTATCCCCACCATACACTGCTCCAAAGGCAACATTCGGACCTAACTACTCGTTCTTCGGTCGGCAAGCAAAGAGGTCAAACCCCGGCGGCGTGGATGGGTTGCAAACCTTCACACCCAGAAAGTTTGAAATTGTTAGTTTAGACACAGGATAAGAAGGGATGGGCAAGAGAACAGGCAGAGCGAGCAAGGCCTCCCTACTCCCTCCCTTAATCAAAAGAGCCTAAAGGCGGGAAAACAAGGAGAACCACTGATGAAAACAAATATTCAAAAGCTACAGAGCGCTGCAAGACCAAAAGGTAAGATTTCTCCACCTCTGTAAATGTTCTGCTCTAGATCCACTATACCCCTTTGGACGGGAGCACGTCTGCAATTCCCTCCCCGGTTACACCACGGCAGGGAAGACAGGCCCTACTGTACTAGAGAACCTCGACTGAGCTATGAAGAAATTTATTAGCACCTTTTTATATAGTGGCTCTCAAGTGATGATTTCAAATTGTCATTATTTCAAGGTGAACTGTAACACAGCCTGTATTACAATAACTGTAGGTTTAAATACACAAATTGCTATGACTTCTTTTTTTAAATGTTAAAGTTCCCCCTAAAGGTCGTAAGTAGAAACAAAATAATTCAAGACATCATTTTCTTGATCTTCAGAGCACCAGCAGAAAGCCAGGTTGGTTGTCTGCCAAGACTGGACAAAAGCAAGGAGGAAAAAGACACCACCACACCCCCACGCCCCCCCAGTACAGCGGCGCTTAAGGAGAGGTTGTCGGCAATACTTTTTTACATGTATTTTATGGTATTTTTATGTGGTATTTTAAAACTTCCCTTTTAGAGGAAGGAGGAGCAATTGTGCAGTACTGCGAGAGCTCCACATTGTGCAAAATCCAACGCAAGTTTCTGAATGAAGTTGAGACGGGAGCAGAAGCTGTGGAATGCCCTATGTTAAAGGGGAATTGCTCAAATACACAGTGTCTGATCTTCACAGACCGCAATTATCCGAGAAACCCCTGCTCCTCCAAGGAGCCCAACGCATCTTCTTCTTTTAAGAATTAGGGAGACAGGAACACAAGAGCAGCTGAGCTGCTGCAACTCCCCTCAGCTTCACGGCAACCTGCAGGCACCTGGCACGTCTTCTCATCGGGTGCATTTTAAAACAACTGGCAGCAACCTTCTCTGGTGTATTTAAAGTATTTTTTCAAAATGACTTATAATGAAGCTGGTGTATTATTATAACTATGTGGATGGCCTAAGGAGAAAATGCTGTTTTGTTTGGGTTTTGGTTGGGGGTTTTTTTGTTGGTTTTTTTTTTTTTTAAAACACTGTAAGCCACTGAACTGTTACTGTGCAAAAAGACCTTTAGGCTACCTGGGCTTT